TGAACTGATGCTGAGTAAAATGAGTAGAATCAGGAGAACATTGTACACAGTAATATCAACACTGTGAAATGATCAACTGTGATAGACTTTGTTCTTCTCAGCAACACATTGATCTAAGACAATTCCAAAAGACTCATGATGGAAAATGCTATTCACATCTAGATGGAGTCTAAATGCAGATTAAAGCATACTATTTGCTCTTTTTTTTCTTTCTTGTGTTTTTTTCCTCTTGTTCTGATTCTTCTTTCACAACATGACTAATATTGAAATATATTTAATATGATTGTACATGTATAGCCTATATCAGATTGCTTGCTACCTTGGGGAGAGGTGAGTGGAGAGAGGGAGGGAGAAAAAAAATGTGCAACTCAAAATCTTATAAAAGTGAATGTTGAAAACAAAATCTTATAAAAGTCAGTGTAATTGGGAAAATAGAATATTATTAGGTGGGGAAAAAGGTAAAAAATTTTTTTCATATTTCCAGTTTACTGGATGCTTTCAGAAGCCTTGTAAATCTCATTTAACTGGAAGTAGATACTAATAGTCATATATAAAAGAAACCAAATAGTGAAACCAAATGTTTAAGGATTTGAGTAGAAAGATGACTATTCAAATGTCTTGGCTCCATTCTATGAGGAATTTTAAATAGATAGAATGAGAAAGTTTTCCCTTTGTATCTGAAGTATGTTCAGACTGTACTTTGGTGGTTCTAAGATGCTTTCTTTCTCTTTGGCTGTTTTCTAGGGACAGCAAAGGATATCAGAAATGGCACATTGGTCACAGAGTTTATCCTCCTAGGCTTTCCAGACATCTGTGGACTGCAGGTTCCCCTCTTCATAGTGATTTTCCTCATCTACATTTTAACCGTTTTTGGAAATGGACTCATCATCGCTATTGTCTGGGCAGAGCCAAGACTACAAACCCCTAGGTACTTCTTCCTTAGCAATCTGTCCTTCTTGGAGATTTGGTATACCACCACTGTCATCCCCAAGCTGCTAGAAACTTTTGTGGTTCAAAGGATAATCATCTGTGTCCCCTGCTGCCTGCTACAATCCTTTTTCCATTTCTTTTTGGGCACAACAGAGTTTTTCATCCTCACAGTCATGCCCTTTGATCGTTACCTGGCCATCTGCAAGCCCTTCCATTACTCTACTCTCATGACCACCTCCCTCTGCCTCCAGCTAGCCCTCAGTTCTTGGATGATAGGATTCACCATTGTCTTCTGTCAGACAGTTCTAATTTTTCAGTTACCTTTCTGTGGCAACAACATCATCAACCACTTCTACTGTGATGTTGGCCCCATCCTGAAAATGGCCTGTGCAGATACCAGCCTCCTGGAGTTTTTGGGTCTCCTGGCAACTAGCCTAATCACACCAGGGTCACTTGTTTTCACAATAGTTTCTTATGTCTATATCGTGTCCACTGTCCTGAAGATCCCCTCAGCTACCGGGCGCCAGAAGGCATTCTCTACCTGTGCTTCTCACCTAACTGTTGTTTCTCTGCTGTATGGGGCAGTTCTCTTCATGTACCTGAGACCCACAGCACATTCCTCATTCAAGATAAACAAGGTAGTATCTGTGCTCAATACTATCCTCACCCCTCTTCTGAATCCTTTCATTTATACTATTAGAAACAAAGAGGTGAAAGGAGCCCTATGGAAAGCAATGGCATGCCAAAAAGCCAGTTACCACGGGTGAGATACGCTGTGCAATAAGTGACTTAAATCAGAGTGAAAAGGAGTAAACCCCAAGTTTTTAAAAATTTACAACTCAATGTTGTATAGTGCAGTCATATAGGACAATGGAGTAAAATGACCAATCTGTTCTTTGAGAATTTGTTGACTATGAAAAAAAATGGGGCTCTGGCTTGAATGGA